ATACACATCTACCTAACTCTGCGTACATGCTCCTCAGTGTTCAATTGCATAGGTGTATTATCATTTATTTAGCCAGTTTTTTTTTTTTAGCCAGTTTGTTTTTGACAGAAATTGGGGCCACATCTAGTTTTTTTGCCACTACTAACAATACTGTAATAAACAATTATACCTATTTGAATTTTTGTTGTATATTTTACAATTTATATATATATATATATTTGGTGTATATTTTACAATTTATATTTTATTTTAAGTACCTGTGTGTGTGTGCGTGCACTGTGCATTTGTGGACAGCTTTTTTACCTGAGGATATGCACTTTCATGAATATGGATCTATAGCATCGTTTTTAAAAAAGCTTATTTATTTAAGTCATCTTAACCCCCAACATAGGGCTCGAACTCATGACTCTGAGATGAAAAGTCACATGCTCTACTGACTGAGCCAGCCAGGCACCCCTATAGCATCATTTTTTAAAACTTTGTTTAATGTTTATTTTTGAGACAGAAACAGAGTACAAATGGGGGAGGGGCAGAGAGAGAGACACACACACACACAGAATCTGAAGCAGGCTCCAGGCTCCAGGCTTTGAGCTTGTCAGCACAGAGCCCGATGTGGGGATCGAACCCACGAACCGTGAGATCATGACCTGAGGCGAAGTCGGATGCTCAGCCGACTGTGCCAGCCCCTATAGCATCATTTTTAATGGCTGTATATTCTATTCTATCGAACTGGATGGATGAAACATAATTTGTTTAATAAACACTCGGCAGTTGGAGATTTCTGTTGTTCCTCATTTTTCCCTGTTACAAACAACGCAGCATTGAACACCTCCGTACTGAAATCTCCGTGCATGTCTCAAATTATTTTCCTTGGATATACATTCTTAGAGGGGAGGTTGCCAGGGCAAGGGGTATGCCTATTTTGAAGAGTAGTCACTTCATTTAAAAGAAAAGCTGCCAATTCTGTCAGGCAGATTTGTTAAACAGAGATCCTCAGATAGGGTGGCCGCAGGGGGAAACCTTTAAGTCGGATAGGTAGGTTATTTCCAGACCTGATGTGGCCGGCAGGGTTAACAGCCCCAGCGAGGCCCCGTGGGCTAATCCCCGGAACCTGGGAATATGTTCTGTGACGTAGCACAGGGGAACTAAGGGTGCAGACGGAATTAAGGTTGCTAATCAGCTTAACTTAAACCAAGGGGATTATCCTGATTATCTGGTGCCCAATGTAATCACAAGAATCCTTGACCCTGGAAGAGGAAGCAGGCACTGAGAAAGAGCTAGGGGGTGTGAGCTTCAGGGTGGGGCTCCAACCCCTGAAAGATACAAGGGGGAGGAAGCGGAGTTGAACTGAGAGAGATTCAGACCGTGATGGGGAGCTGACAAAGTCTCAGCCACTTCAACGGAAATCTGGAACAAATATTGCCCATTAGAGGAGCCCCACGTTGGGCAGAAATGGCCAGGCTGTCGGACCCCTATTAGCGCTCAGTCACTGGCTGGGGACTGCCCACAAACAGGCTGAAGCAGATGCTAAGGCTCGAACCTAGGGAGGCACTCACTTGGTGGCCTGCACTCCCTGCTGCCCAATGGCATGCCTGTAGCCAGCACAGCCCTTCCTTCTGTTCTTCGGTGGTCCAGACTCCAGCCTCTTCTTTGAGCCCTGGGTATCGCAACTGTGGGTAGGTCTTGTAAATACAACTATTTCATTTTTTAAATATTTTTAATGTTTTTGTTATTTATTTGACAGAGAGAAAGGGAGAGAGAGAGGGACAGAGAGAGAGAGAGAGAGAGAGAGACAGCATGAGCAGGGGAGGGTCAGAGAGAGAGGGAGACACAGAATCTGAAACAGTCTCCAGGCTCTGAGCTGGGTGTCAGCACAGAGCCCGACGCGAGGCTCGAACTTGCGAACCGTGAGATCATGACCTGAGCTGAAGTCAGACACTTAACCGACTGAGCCACCCAGGCGCCCCTAAATAAAACTCTTTCAAAACATAGGCCATCGGAGCCAGGAAATGACTTCGGGGATCGATCATCTCCTTTTCCACAGAGAAACTGAGACCTGGCAGGCGAGTTTGAATCAAGAGATAGCTAGGGGCGCCTGGGTGGCTCAGTCGGTTAAGTGTCTGACTTCAGCTCAGGTCATGATCTCATGGTTCATGAGTTTGAGCCTCGCGTCGGGCTCTGTGCTGACAACTCAAAGCCTGGAGCCTGGTTCGGATTCTGTGTCCCCCTTTCTTTCTGTTCCTCCTCTGCTCATTCTCTCTCTCTCCTCTGAAAGATGAATAAATATTTAAAAAAATTAAAATATATATAAATAAATAAGGCTACTCCTTTGGAAAGATGGGTGGAGGCCAGAGTTTTTACCAAAAAAGCAACCCTAACTGCTATAAATTAATAGACTCGACTCGCTTCAAAGCACACAGAATCATTAAAAGGACAAATAAATAATAAATAAATAACCAGGCTTCACTTTGAGAAGATCTTTGAGGCTTAATTTAATCTTAATCAAATTTATTTTAAAAATAGGGATAAAACTGTAAGCCTTATAAACATGCTATAGCCCACTAATCTAGAAAAATTCACAGAGACATACGATTTTAAAATCTCACATGGTAAAGGAATTGAAATGGGCTATCACATTGTTACTGCACATTTTGAAAATGCAAAAACGGTTTACTAGATTATTTTCAATTAATTATATCAAGAGGGAAACCATTATGGACAGGGTAGAAATTGTTTATATGGGAGAGAGAGGACTGTTATATTCTCATTAGCACTTGTTTATGGAGGGCTTACTTTATTTTCAGTGTTACACGTGATACCAATTTGTGAAATGGAAAAGTACTCCAACACCAGTCTCAACTGGATCTGTAAACAACATTCTTACTTGAGGGGCGCCTGGGTGGCTCAGTCAGTCCGACTTCAGCTCAGGTCATGATCTTACGTTTGGTGGGTTTGAGCCCTGCGTGGGGCTCTGTGCTGACAGCTCAGAGCCTGGAGCCTGCTGCGGATTCTGTGTCTCCCTCTTTCTCTGCCCCTCCCTCACTTGCATTCCCTCTGTCTCTTTCTCTCTCTGTCTCAAAAATAAGTAAACATAAAAAAAATTCTTACTTGAAATTCTTTTTTAAAAAAATTTAAGAAGTCCATTATTTCTTTTTTATAATCTGTTTAATGTTTATTTTATTTATGAAAGAGAGGGAGCACAGTCGGGTAAGGAGCAGAGTAGGTGCCCCTACTTGAACTTAAGATCTTTGCTACTAGAAAAAGGGAGTTGTCAGATTTTTTTTTTGCTTTTTCAGGACTGGCATCATTCAAGTATGGGAGTTTCCCATTTTGAAGTAATTCCCATTCTTCCCAACTGTAGAGTTCAGGAATGGGTGTGTGTTGGTGGGGAGGACCAGCAGCTGATAGGTCACTAGTCAATTCCCCAAAATTATAGAGAAAGAGGTGAATGAGGTTTATGGACTCTAACTTTACTGGGCCCCAAATTTCCAGTTTCAAACCTTTTATAAAAAATGTTTATTTATTTTGAGAGAGAGAGAGAGAAGGGGAGGGTCAGAGAGAAAGAGAGACTAAGTATTCTAAAACGCAGAGCCCAATGAGGGGCTTGAGCCCATGAACCATGACATCATGACCTGAACTAAAGTCGGACACTTGGGGCACCTGGGCGGCTCAGTAGGTTAAGCATCCGACTCTGGCTCAGGTCATGATCACGGTTTGTGGGTTCGAGTCCCACTTTGGGCTCCGTGCTGACAGCTAGCTCAGAGCCTGGAGCCTCTCTCTGGATTCTGTAACTCCCTCTCTCTCTGACTCTCCCCTGTTCATGCTGTCTCTCTCTCTCTCTCTCAAAAATAAGTAAGACAATAAAAAAATTGAAATTGGACACTTAACCGACTGAGCCACCCAGGTGCCCCTCCAGGTTCAGATCCTGATCCATCTGCATATTCTACACCCCTCACCCCCAAACTCGCATCTCAGAAGATTATCCACTAGGAGTGTAGATGAAGCCACAGACAACACACGGGCCAGCCACCCCACCTTTGTGTGTGAAGGGTGGCACACATCTTGTGTGTGTACTTTTAATTCCAAGAGTAAAACGCCCAGCATGAGTTAAAGAAATGCTTTTCAAGTTAGCTTTCTGGAAGTGAGGCGGGAAAAGAAACAAAGAATGGGTATAGAAAACCAGAAATCGAAGTCTGGGATTAAGTAGGAGTTGACCTGCACAGAAGATTTACCCGTGGAAGGAGGCCTGGTCTTCCCCCTTTTTCATTAAAGTGGCAAAATTGATTACTGCTTCCAGCTTTATTCAAGATAGAGCTTCCGGGCTGAGGAATTTGTTCAGGAAACATTATCAGATTTTTCCCAGACTACAGAAGATGCCAGCCTTCTGGGAATCATTTCTTTTTCCTTAAACAGTATATTAGGAGTTCAGTCCTGATGGTACATATTATCTTTGAACACTGATGAATCTTCCTAGCGTGAGCCAAGAAACTCACACTTGCATAATTATGCATCACAAGTGCTAGAATCAGCCGCCTGAATTTTCCCCATCACCTAAAAAAGAGCATGGCTTCTAAGGTAAATAACTTTGAGGAACTGTCCTGGCCAAGTTTCTTTTCTCTCCCCAAATGTAGGAAACACACACAACACCCTGGAAAAAAACTGTTCTTGAGACAGGAGCGTTACTGTATTTAACTGCCAAGGTCACCAATTCACTCATGCAAGAGCCGTGGTCTTTATTCACATAGCAGATGGGAGGAAAATTATCGAAGGGCCACCCAGACGTTAACCCCTGATCAGTAGTATGGCGGGACACCTTGGGAAGGTGCGTTAGCCACACTAAGCCTCAGTACCCACATGTTATTACATGGAGGTAATAATGCCGGTCCCAGGGTTGCTGGGAAGTTGGCCTGAGATCATGGATGTGAAAGAACGTGGAACGGAGAACAGCGTCACCCAAAAAAGTAGGTTTATTATTCACCCTCTGAGCTATTACCCAGGAGCAAGCGGGGGCTGTGTGCATGGGGAACATGGACAAAGCAAGGCCTTCTGGGGCTGTCACGGGCAAACTGCCAAGCTCACACCGGCCGCAAGGGCGTCTAGTGGATGAGAGATGAAGGAGTTTGGAGAAATTTCTCACTTTTTCTGGAACCATCCGCGGGGAGGTCCTGCTGCCATGTCTTGGACTAAGCCTTGTCTTTCACCACCAATTTGTCTAAGACGCCGTTGGGTATCCACACAGGTGGCCCCAGAGCCTCCGTACTGAAAAGATTACTAATAGTTCCCGGATGTCCCTAACAGTGAAAGAGCCCAAGGGAAGGTTTCATGCTTTGTGGAAGCCAGGTGGGTCCCAGTGGCAGGCTGTGAGGGGTCACCAAGGTCCAAGGGAACACCTGTGGGGTGTCACATGCCAGAATGCTCATCCTCAGGGTGAGGGCAGGAAGAAGCTCCTGGACCTGCAACTTAGAAATGCTCCCGGCACAGAACTTACTCCAGGTTCCGCTTGGGGATGGGGCAGTTTGCTGACCAATTTCTAGGAAGTTAGTTCTTGGATTTCTTAACGAGCCTATTTGGAAGCACTGTTTTTTCTTTTTTCTAATGGAGGAGTCAAATATCCCAAGTGAAAGCACTTCATTTGGGGCGCTTGAATGGATTGGTCAGTTGACTGTCTGACTTCAGCTCAGGTATTGATGTCACGGTCTGTGAGTTTGAGACTCGAGTTGGGCGTGCGGCTCTCACTCAGATCCTGTCCCCCCCTCCCCTTCTTGCTCACGCTCGCTCTCTCTCAAAAATAAATATAATATTAAAAAAAAATAAAGTACTTCATTCATGAGAGCCTTCCTGAACTTTTTCAGCTCCCTTCCGTACTCTGAGGATACCACGAATGCCCAGCCTCAACTCTTTCTGGATGGGTTTTGCGTGCTGCATGTTCATGTTGCTTTTGGTTAGAGGCTAGAGTGCAGTTGGCCACAGTCTGGGTGAGGCTAGAAAGCTTCAGGGTCTTCCTTGGATCTTCTCCATTCAGTCGGCAAAGTGGGACTGCCCCATATGATACCAAAAATCTTGCTGGTGGAGTGTAAGGGGACTATGATTTCTAAGTAGGAGGGCAGTGGGGGTAGGCGGGGTGGGATGAGCCTCTATGGTCCCCATCCCTGAACTGCTCTTTTAAACATTTCATACACTGAGGATTCACTGAAATTTGATAACTCCTGCCATAGGACATAGGTGCCAAGGAAGAGAAGTGTCGAATTTTAGGGAGAACGGGAACTTGCTCCTGGCACAATGCTCTTTAGTGACGGCAAGAGGAAAGGACGGTGTGGTCTCTTGATCCTCTAGATTCACAGTAGAAAATCCTGGGGAGGTTTGGGAAAAGGAAATTCTCTTCTTCAGACTGAAATTCAATAAAAGAAGACATCCCTTCTCTCTGGAGACTGGCTTTCTGGAAAACAAGATAAGCATGATGAGGAAGGAGCTGGCTCTGGGGTCGAACGAGCCCATGTTTGAAACCTGACTTCACCACTGCCTAGTTGTGTGACGTTGGGCAAGTTACCTAGCCTATCGGAGCCTCGCGTTCTCATCTGTTGAATGGGGTTACAAATGATACCTACCTCCAAAGATTCTGGAAAGGATTAAGTGAATTAAACCCACATAAATCCCTCTCAAACAGTGCCTGACCCATATATGCTCAGTAAATGTTAACTACTGTTCTCTTAAAGAGGCAGGGTCTTTTTTAAAACATTTTATTTATTTCTGAGAGAGAGAGGAGAGAGAGAGAGAGTGCAGGGGAGGGTCAGAGAGAGAGGGAGACACAGAATCTGAAGCAGGCTCCATGCTCTGAGCTAGCTGTCCGCACAGAGCCCGATGTGGGGCTGGAACCCATGAACTGTGAGATCATGACCTGACTCGAAGTCAGACGCTTAACCGACGGAGCCACTCAGGTGCCCTGAGGCAGGTCTTTATACGTAGTAAAGTAGAATTAGCTTCGTAGGGAAGCATAAGGACTTTGAAGTCAGAGAAAGCAGACTCTGGCACTCACTCATCTTGACTTTGTGCAAATTACTTATCCTCCCTAAACTTCAATTTTCCCATCCTGTGAATGGGGATAAAAATAGTACCTACCTTGTAGGTAGCTACTCGTTCTTATTTTGCTTCACCTCCGTGAATCTTATCATTCTTCTCATCTCTACTGACCTTTTACTTCCTTCTACCTCAGCCAGCCATTCCCATGGTCATGCGCTAGACTTTGTCATCGCCTACACAGGTAGCGCCCTTGCCATTTCAACTTCAAACATCTACTCTCCACCCACCACCTCCCATGTCATTGGCGTAAGTACTCTTATCACCACATGTTTCCATAACTCAATCGTCCGGTCCATCAACCTCCACTACCCGTCACCCTCCATCGGCCTTCATTTCCTTCTTTGTGCAGGTCAGAGATCAGGCTCTGTGGTTATAGTCATTCAACTTGCAAATACCCTCAGCTCCTTTTCCTTGCTCCCCACCCATCACACTCGCCCGCCAAAGCCTCCCTCTGGATGAACATTTCCATTTGCCTTCTGCACATCACACTAACCAATGACACTGAGGCAAATCACACAACCCAGCTGGTTCAACCTGCGACTCCGGATCTCAGACTCCGGCTGGGTGCCCAGGAAGCTGACAGCTTTCATACTTTCCCACCTTTCAACACCCGCATTCGTGCTCTCGGCGGATGCCCTTGCCCCAGAGTTGATGGAGAAAAGAGAGATCATTTGATACTTTTCTGACTCCCCACAAACAAACCAGCCAACCGATCAGAATCTGTGTCCTTATTTTCCTTTTGTGCACTTTCAATGTTACAATGTCCCTCCTCCTAGCACGTGTCCACACTTCCATGTGTCCCTTCTATGGGCTCAAAGAGCTCCCCCGTGAAAACATCCTCATCCTGCTACCTTATCAATCTTTTCATCTTTGTTGGATCATACCACACAGATAGGCTCTAATATTTGCCTTCTTTTTTAAAAAATTGTTAATGTTTTATTTATTTCTGCGAGAGAGAGAGAGACAGCATGAACAGGGGAGAGTCAGAGAGAGAGGGAGACACAGAGTCTGAAACAGCCTCCAGGCTCTGAGCTAGCCATCAGCACAGAGCCTGACATAGGGCTCGAACCCACAAACTGTGAGATCATGACCTGAGCTGAAGTCAGGCACGTAACCGTCTGAGCCACCCAGGTGCCCCTTGCCTTCTTTTTTTTTTTAATCTTATTTATTTTGAGAGAGAGAGAGAGAGAAAGCACGAAAGGATGTAAGTGGTGGAGAGGCAGAGAAAGTGGGAAGAGACAGAATCCCAAGCAGGCTCTGAGCTGTCAGCACAGAGCCTGACATGGGGCTCAATCTCACCAACCATGGGATCATGACCTGAGCCGAAGTCAGATGCTCAACTGACTGAGCCACCCAGGCGCCCCAAGGAAAACTGCTCTTAAAAAGGTTATCAAAAGCTGATGCCACATCCAATAGAGATTTCCTGCTTTTCTTGAATCCCCCGGAAGCCTCTGACACAGTGGATCACTCTCTGCTTTGAAACATTCTCTTCTTCTAGTTTCTCCTGGTTCTCCTCCTACCATGCCGACTGCTCCCCTCATTACCCTCTGCTGGGTCCCCTTGGCCCCAACCTCTAAACATCGGCACCCTCTTGGACACTGTCTCCCACCCTTCTATCTACACCCTCTGCTTAGAGCACCTAACTACTGTCATTTTCATACTGATCAATCTCAAAGTTTTCCTTAGGTTTCCCTTCCGAACTCCTCACTTACATACGCAACTGTTTTCAGACACGTATCCACTTGGGAACTAGAGTGTATTATGCTAAGTGGGATAAGTCAGTCAGAGAAAGATCTGTATCATTATTTCACTCATATGTGGAATTTGAGAAACACAACAGATGAACGTAGGGGAAGGGAAGCAAAAATAAGATGAAAGCAGGGAAGCAAACCACAAGAGACCTCTTGAATACAGAGAACAAACTGAGGGCTGCTGGGGGGGGTGGTAAATGGGCGCTGGGCATTAAGAAACACTTGCTGGCATGCGCACTGGGTGTCGTATGGAAGTGATGAATCACTGGGTTCTGCTCCTGAAACCAATACCACGCTGTATGTTAACTAACTTGAATTTAAACAAATACATTTTAGAAAAAGAAAAAAAAAAGAGAGAGAGAGCGATCCACTTGGATGTCTTACAGGCACCTAAGACTAACATGACCAGAGTTAACAGAGTTATGTTGACACCTACCTGTACCACTATCCACCCAGTAGCTCAAGCAAGAAACCTAAGAGCTACCCTGGATCTTTGTCCTTTCCTCAGCACTCCCATCCAAACTGTTAGCAAACCCTGAGAGCTCAACCTCCCACATAGATCTCGAAGGTATCCACTTTATTTAATTCTTTAAAAATTTTGTTTATAGTTTATTTATTTTTTGAGACAGAGAGAGACAGAGTGTGAGTGGGCGAGGGGCAGAGAGAGAGGGAGACACAGAATCCGAAGCAGGCTCCAGGCTCTGAGCTGTCAGCACAGAGCCTGACGTGGGTCTTGAACCCATGAACCGTGAGGTCATGACCTGAGCCAAAGTCGGACGCTCAACCGACTGAGCCACCCAGGTGCCCCTCACTTTTTTTTAAAGTAGGTTTTAGGCCCAGTGCGGAGCCCAACTGGGGCTTGAACACATGACACTGAGGTCAACACCTGAGTTGAGATCAAGAGTCAGATGCTAAGCAGACTGAGCCACCCAGGTGCCCCAAATGCATCCACTTTTATCAGTCTCCCGCAGGAACCTAAGGCAAGCCGCCATCTTCTCGTGCTTCTTGTCCCCTTACTGCTCTGTTTTCCTCCTTGCCTTCCTCTAGGGTGCCCTGTCCATGATGGCTGAGGTGACCTTAGTTAAGTACAAAGTGGATCACCTTTAAAATCCTCCCATGGCTAACAAGTCACGTAGAACGTAAAATCTGAACTCCTGTCATGACCCATTAAGACCCCATGTCACCCAGCTCCTGTGACCTCACCTCTCCAGCCTGGTCTTGTGCCCCACACTCCCTTTCTTGCTATACTCTGGCCACCCTGATCTTTCTCTGCTCCTCACAGACTTCCCCGACCCCCTCCATTCCCATGCCCACTCTTCCTAAAGCTAGCTCTCCCCCTGTATTCAGACCCCTGCTCACATATCGCTGCTTCAGAAGTCCCCTTTGATGGCTTTATCCAAAGCTGGTCCCCACTAGACTATTACCTCTATGGGGGCAGGGCCAGAGATAGTTGTATTTACTATTGTATCATAAATGTGTATTATAGCATCGCGTCTGGCAAACAGCAATATCAATGTATTATTATATGTAGACATTAAAGCAATGCACAGTGTCTATTTCTACAGACGCCCCCCCCCCCCCCCCCCCCCCGCAATCAAATTCACTAAAAATTTTGCCACCAAAGTGCTTTGGGACCCACCTCCAGAAAGGTCTTTCTGACTACCCTCCTGGCTGATCGCTGTGCTTCACATTGGGTCTGCCTCACAGGTGTGTGACAGCCAGGAGAAGGGGACTGGGCCCATATTGGAGGGCCAGAAAGAGACTCTGCCTGCCTTCCTTCAATAAATATTTATCCGGGGCCTCACACAGGAACTCTTTCAGAACTACTGGAATTCCTACCGAAAGATTCATCGGGTTCTCTTTGAAACCAGGTTAATATAAAATATACAAAGAATCAAACGTATACAGGCGATTGAGTTCCGTGCCAAATCTTACAAAACAGGAAGCGAGGACGTGGAGTCTGTACATTTCACAAGCTCTCCCGTGGTCCTCGCTGTCAGCAAAGACTGGGAGCTGGGCGGCGGGGGAAGAGTAGGGGCTCTGCTGGGGTTCCTGGAAGTCACCTCCTTCCCAGCCCCCATGCCCTGTGCCCCCCCGACCACCCCCCCCCCCGTGCCCAGAGCCCAAGTGGCAGGATAGCTGAATCGGGACTGTTGGCCAAGCCAGGTACCCACGCCCCATCTCCCCGCAGCCACTCTCCTCTCAGCAAGTCCAGCCCATTGCCCTTTTCCCAAGGTAATACTGTTCCTACACACACTTTCTAAGCATTCCCTCCCCCTAGGCTAGGACAGTGTCCCGGCCACAGATAGACAGCAAACCCATATGCGGCGAAACAATCTTACCAGTCGTCAATTCTCACAGTTGTACATTTGATTTAACTTGGAATTGTTTCTCGTGATTTGGGTTTATTGTAATTTATAATGATGACGGCCTTAGGACGGAGAGCAAAGACATATACTACCGCTTGCTCCTGTGTGATCTTTATTTTTAAAGTGTTTATTTTTGAGAGAGAGAGAGAGAGCACGCATATACACATGCATGAGCGTGGGAGGGGCAGAGGATCGGAAGGGGCCCGAACTCACAAACCGTGAGATCATGACCCGAGCCAAAGTCGACGCTCAACCCACTGAGCCACCCAGGAGTCCCTTCTGCTGTGGGATCTTCAGGCAAGCCCTCTCACCTGTTTGAGACTCAGTCTCCTCCTATAAAATGAGACTGTGTATTCATTCATTCAATCCCTGTTTACCGAATACATGGTGTGCAAGGCACATACACAATTCACAAGGTCACTGGGGGGACTGAGCAGGACAGTATGTGTAAGAGCTGGCTCAGCCGTGCTAAGGTCTTGAACCAGCCCTAAATCCATCTCCTCACCTGGGCATGGCCAATTTAATCACTCAGGGGTGCTTTATGGCTTGCTTGTTGGCCTGTCTTACACAGGGCTTCAAACAAAATAATGTGTACTATATCGGCAGATGTATTTTTCCTATTTCCTTCTTCACTTTTCTATTGTTTCTAGACGTTAGTCATTCATCCATTCACCACATACGTATTCACCTCTGTCCCAGGCTCTGTTGTAGGTGCCGGGATGTGGGGGTACACACTTCAAAGCCTTGGCCCTCAAGGAGCTAACATTCTGGAGAGGTCTGTGACTGCCCTCACCCCACTCATCGATAGATTGTAAACAACTTGAGCATTGGGGCCACCCGCAGCCGCTGCCCTTCCCTCCCTTCACACACACACACACACACACACACACACACACACACACACACACACACACAGCCCAGAGCACAGTCTGAGGCCTGCTCTTCCCCAAAGTCGCTCTCTGATGCTCTGCTGCGTGCCAGGCTTACTCGGTGTGTTTGGTGACTGACTTTGCATGGTTCACTGTGGCTGATTTACACTAGAATGTAAATCCTAGGCATTTACATATATTATTTCATTTAATCCTCAAAGAAACTCAGTGGGGCTCATGCGATGTTAATCCTCATTTTGCAAATGAGCCGAAGAATGGAGAGGTTAAGAAATGTGACCAAGTTTCTGTAGCTAGTAAGTAATGAAGCCACATTAGATCCCAGGCCATAAAGATCCTCATGCTTTGCCACCTAGATTGTGCCCGTTTGGATATTCCTACTGACACCATTTTCTTTCTTTTCTTTCCTTCCTTCCTTCCTCACTTCCTCCCTCCCTTTCTTTCTTCCTACTGGCACCATTTTGTTTCTTTCTTTCTTCCTTCCTTCCAAGACTTTTTATTTTCACATAATCTCTACACCCAACGTGGGGCTCAAATTTATAACCCTGAGGTCAAGAGTCACCTGCCCTATGGACTGAGCCAGCCAGATGTTCCTGACACCACTTTCAAATTGAGCATGGAGGGGCACCTTGGTGGCTCGGTCAGTTAAGCACCTGGCTTCGGCTCAGGTCGTGATCTCACGGTTTGTGGGTTCGGAGCCCCGTGTAGGGCTCTGTGCTGACAGCTCAGAGCCTCCTTGGGAAACTCTCTCTCTCTTTGCCCCTCGCCTGCTTGTGCTTTCTCTCTCTTTCTCAAAATAAATAAATAAACTTAAATGGTGCTTTAAAAAATTTGGGTGGGGAGCCCAGAGTCCCGGCCTTTGGCCTCAGGTGGCATCTTCCCGGTCTGCAGAGTCCTGGGGTGGCCGTATGTTCTAGGCTGAAAACTGAACATCTGGAGCAAAGAAAACTAATCCTCATGAGTTTCTTCATTTTGCTGAGTCACCTGGGTTAGATCTTGCTCAGGTAAAAGAACTCAACAGTTGTGAGGATAGCAGAATAAGAAAATGATCAGGACGGCTCAGAGCCTGGAGTCTACTTCAGACTCTGTGTCTCCCTCTCTCCCTCTCAAAAAGAAAAATAAAACATTTAAAAAAAAATAGCCAAGACAGTTTACAAGGCAACCAACGCATGGGCTCTTTGAGACAAAGATGAAACATATTCCAGCTATGAAAATGCTAAGTAATAGAAACGAAGGTCTTTTCAGTTGAAGAGCCTGGTTCTCACACCAGAGTCTTCTCAAGTTTGTTTCCAGATACAAAGAACACAGTTGAGTTTGATAGCGTGCTTGAAACACACCATCAAAGGCAGAACCAGATACTTACTTTCACTCACAAGGTTGGCACTGGCAGGTCCGCCATCGGGGGGGAAATATATCTTCTTATCTAGAGAGGAAGAGCCTGTGATTAGAAAAGAAATCTCCAGGGACCCCCAAATGCTCTGCCCCTCAGTCTATAGACACGGGGTATATTTTCTCTTGTATCAGAAGTTACAAAAAAACAGAGAAGCTTCTGTTTTGAAGGGACATTGGGCCTCATTCCCATTTTACAGGGAGTGTTCCTGACTTTCCCAGCAGATCCCAGACCATCAGGCCAATTAATACAGCTGACGTCAATGTTAGCAGGAGAGCGTGAAGTTCGCAGCAGTCAGACTTGGTGATAAACATTTGAGGCTGTGTCTACACTTCAGAAATAGGATAACGCCTGCGTTGTAATTTTGCCATGAGGTGCCTGGTGTATAGTAGATGCTTACTAAACATCTGCTGTACTGGGTTTGAACCATCTAGTTGTTATGTTTGGGAGGCGAGGATTTGAGCCACCTGTGTTCTAAGCAACTGTTGAAACAGGCATATGCACAAACACAGTTGGCTTAATTTTTCCTCTGAATCCGGTAGGCACAGAATTTTGAAAAGGAGCACAGGGGTGGGGATTTTCATAGGTTTCCTAAGCATGACATTTTTATGATTTGCTCCTGAAGTACGTTCCTCATCAAACTCCGGACATGACAGAGTGGTATTTTAATGGGAAATTTGTTTTCGACATTAGGCTGGAACACAGTGCCTGACTTAGGCTGGCTACGCTCAACAGCCCCTTTGTGTACTGTATACTGAGTTCAGAGGAAAGGCGGCTTCTAGCAATTTCTTTCAGGCATGGAACACTAGAACTACAGATATGTATGGACTAGGGGACTGTAAAAGAAAAGTCGCCCAGGGTACAGAACACCAGAGGATGCAGACTTGGCCCCATGAAACTATAAAAGACATATTATTACCAATATTTACTGTGAAAGGCAAATTCTGTAGCAGATTGCGCTGTCCTGTTGCTGAAACTATAAACTTCAGGCCAATTCTCCCTCAGCCTTTTACAAAGAAGGGAGTCTTGGGTTTTGGGGGGTAGGTATTTCACATCTAGCAGGCACTAACTAAATATTTGTTCAGAGAAAGAGTGAATGAAGAGGTGAAGGAGCCTTAAGGGGGATCTGGTTCCGGAGGCGGGGTGGTGGCCAGGGAGCAGGAAGCCAAGGGAAACCTTGGCAGGTGGGGCCCAGTGTGTAGGCACAAGCCACGGACGGCCAGGCACTGTGACAGTCTCTAGGCAGCAACGGGACTGCCTCTACAGTGGCTTTGAATTTTAATGTTTAGAGCAGATGGTTGGTATAGATTGCCCTTGTTTTTGCCCAGGAACCCGGCATCACTGCAAGTTGCCAGCCTGTTTGGAGGACAGATTATGAGCCTGTAGATGGGCCGTGGGGCTCTGTTTTATGGTTATTTGGTGGCTCGCAGTAAGGTGACTGCACGACCCTGCGATTTTAGGCAGCAGTCGAAATTATTTTTCTAGGCTAAGTCCAAGTCCACAGACTGGGGTCAATATTCTGGGCCAAGTCCATCCGGCTGGCTGTCCGCGTAACCCTTCATCATTAAACTGTGGACGTCAGCGAAGCTTAGTGAAGGTCAATGGAATGTTTAAGGAGGGCAACCCATCCCCCAGAAGCCCCCCGTCTGAAGTGGGAGCGATTAGTCATAGCCCCCCCCCCCATTTCATGCCAGCTCCCTCTTCAACTGCAACCAACCAGAGGCAGCCCTCCAAGTGTCTGGAGGTCCTTCCTTACAGTGGGCTGAGCTGGCAGGCACATTGAAGAGTAATCCCGTGCTTCCGGCCATCGGGGCAGAGCTGGAGTCCTCCCACACTGCAGATTCCTGAGGAGGGGCGAGGTATAGGTCCTGCTGGAGGAGGCTTAGGAAGGGCTCATATTTCCCATCAGGCTGGGGCTCTGGCACCACGTGCCCACTGGAGTAGGCGTGAGAGTAGCCAGGCTCTGAGGAGTTGGGGCTGACTGGGGACGGGTACGGCCACGGCTCGCCAGGCAGAATGGAGGGGCTCCCCGCCAGGGACACCGGGTACTGATCCATGGTCATGAGACCAGGCCCATTGAATCTGCAGTTGGTGGCACCATATGCAAAAGATGCTTCTGGCTCTGGCTTTGTCCACTGAGAAGAGAAACGCCACTGATTTGGAGGCATGTCACTATCTGGGAAGGAAAGACAAGACACATTAGGTGTTTATTGTTTACAACATAGAAATAGCTTCATTTTTTTCTGGTTAATGCGCACTCTTTCTTTTTTTTATTTTGAAGGCTGCTTTTTGCATCATTAAATATCCCCCAAATATCCTCCCCTAGCGATGAATGGAGCCAACACGAGCCTTTAAAATAGCTGCACAGTATTCCATCATAAGATGGTAATCATATGACCAACCAACATGGTGTTTGTGGGCAACTTGGTTATTTCCATCTTTTCAATGATCTCAACCACACTGTGATGAAACATCTTTGGATATGTATCTTTGCACCTATGTCCAAAGAGCCCCTCAAGGAAACTTTTCTAGAAGTAGAATTGCTCGATTAAAGGTGATTTCTGTTTGGTTGTTTCTGATTGGCTTTATTTTATAGTTGGTGGTTTGAATACACCAAATAGAAGGACCCTACCCCTGAACTTTCTTTTTTTATTAATTATTATTTTTTTAATTTTTGAGAGAGAGAGAGAGAGAGAGAGAGAGAGAGAGGGCGTGAGCAGAGAAGGGTCAGAGAGACAGGGAGATACAGAATCCAAAGACAGGCTCCAGGCTCTGAGCTAGCTGTCAGCACAGAGCCCGACACGGGGCTCAAACCCATGAACTGTGAGATCATGACCTGAGCCGAAGTCGGACGCTTAACTGACTGAGCTCCCCAGGCGCCCCAGAACTTTCAAAGGGTTTAACGGTTGCCTGTGTAAGTCACTCAAAGAAGTCTAAGGGTTGAAACCCCATTTTCTAGAGGTGGGGATAAGACTGGACCAAGTTAGCAGAGCAGATTAGCCAGGTAGGGATCTGAACTGGAGCAGTAAGTGATGGGTACGGAAATGGTTTTCACACCTCTTCCTGCAGAAGCAAAATGCTCAAGGTCAAGGGATGACTCAGTTTCTCTTTGCAAAGTTCTTGTGGACTAGCTAATGAGGACGGAGTCTCCTTTGGTCTCGTAGACACTATTCTAATTGTTCTTATGGTAGCAGCTGAATCCAAGTGTTCAAAGAGTCTAGGACAGCTCATGACATGGATGGATGTTTTTCCATTCGCAACACCCACTCAGACAAGAGGGGAGGAGGGAGAGAGCTCTGGCAGATGGTGTTTAAAGCCTGGAGCCTCTCATCTATCCAAGATAATGAAGGGGGGCGTGGGCGTGAGACAAAGGAAGATCGGAGGTCTGGAGAGGCTGTCTGGTCCCCTTCTCCCCCCGGAACATGTGCCTCTCCTAGCTCTCCTGAATGTTCTGCTTGCCTGGATTGTGTACAAGACAAAAACAGCTGAGTGGTCTGCACAGTGACACTGGAGCCTCCCCGCTCCTCCCATCAGAGCTTTTCATGTAATACAGATAAGAGCAAAATAAGCCCTAACCTACGTGGCATGGATATTCTATTCAACATTTCTCATCACTTGCAATGAGCACTGGCCGATGGTCAGCTTCTTAATGAAACCAAGGGCAAGGGAACATATTAAGATCTGTTCTTGGGGACGGACGCTACTTTTGAAAATTGACACTTGCCCACCAGTAACGATTCAGGGCCCCATGTACCACAAATAGAGAGATTAAGGTGACTTAGTAGAAATCACTTTGTGTGCTTGGTGTTGAATAAGGTCCTGTGTGTCCTGAGTACAAGTCAGAAATAATGTGTAAGCTGAAATGTGCAAGGCAGGATCCCAAGGTCTTTTGAATATTTTGAGAGAGAGGGAGAGAAAGAGAGAGAGAGAGAGAGAGAGAGAGAGAGAATCCCAAGCAGGCCCCCTGCCCAGCGTGGAGCCCGATGAGGGGACTCAATCCCATGACTGAAATCCCCCCACCAGTTACCTCTAGAGAGGAGAGAGGGAGCTCCAGCAAAGACTGTGGCTTTATCGAACCCCAAACTACATTCACGAACAGAGAGCAGTCAAGGGACACGTTGGTTTGGGGGCACTTGGAACAGCCTGGATTTTCATTTCAGAAGGAATATGAAAGGTTTCCTTCGCATCTACTCCCAACTCGAGCATCTAGAGCCTGCCTCTTAGTTCCATCTGGGACTCAGACAGTGCTGGTCCCCATCTCATACTCTGCCCTTTAGGGTGAAAGTGACTGGCCATTCCCCTACCTCCTAAGCAAACCCATAGGCAACACCTTCACCCACCCATGTGCAGTTCTGAGAGCACTAGAACCCTCTAGAAAGCATCTTAGGGCACCGAAGAGTTTGCTTCCACCCCAGAGGACCCTTCTTCCAGTCCATCCTTGCACGGTGGCCCTGCCTACCCTATCCCAGACCGGTTTCTCAAAACACAAACTTAAATGTCACTCTTTCAGAGAGGCTGTCCCTGAACCTCCAATCTAAAGTTTGTCATTCTGCCACTGCGTGACTATGCCCTGTTTATTTCCTTCATAGCAGTACACCTAACCTGCAGTCTCTCCAGTCACTCACTCAATTCACTCACTCACTCACACTCAATCTTCCCCACTAGCCAAGAAGCTTTGAGAACACAGACGTCAGGATGCCTGGGTGCCTCAGTTGGTTAAGCATCTGACTCTTGATTTTGGCTCAGGCCATGATCTCGCAATTCCTGGGATCGAGTCCCAAGCCTGCTTGGGAGTCTCCCTCCCTCTTTCTCTGCCCCTACCCCACTCCTTCTCTCTGTCCCTCAAAATAAATAAATAAACATTAAAAAAAAGAGCATGGGAATGCATGGGTGGCTCAGTTGATTGAGCGTTGGACTCCAGCTCGGGTCATGATCTCATAGTTTGTGAGTTCAAGCCCTGCGTTGGGCTCTGTGCTGACAGCTTGGAGACTGGAGCCTGCTTCACATTCTGTGCGTCTCTCTCTCTGCCCCTACCCCACTCATGCTCTGTCTCTCTCTCAAGAATAAATACACATTAAAAATTAAAAAAACAAAACAAGGAACACGAAAGACCATTTCTCTTTTGTTCACCATTACGCCCTCAAGGACTTGCACAGCACCTGACACATAGGAGGTCCTGAACACTATTCTAGAGTGCACACATGCACACTCACAAACATATATCCCCTCTCAGACACATACCCACACAGCCCTCCCCACCGAATCTTTCTATAGTGAGACCAGCATGCAAAGTGGCTACGAACACAGGCTTTGAAGTCAGATAGGCTTCCCGGCTCTGCCACTTCCTAGCTGTGGGACACGGAGCATATCCCCTCCCATCTCAGAGCCCCTCGGGATGGCTGTGAGATCGGATGGGACAGTCCTGTGAAAGGTTTACGCAGTGCCTGGTACACACCAACCTCCTGGCTGAGGCTGTTGTTTACCAATCATTATTAAGGGCTCACATGCACATGCCTCTTTCCTGGTTTGCAAGAGATCAACCCAGGGAAAGCACAATGGTAACGGCAGGAGGCCGGAGGGTCCCCCCTGCCCTTGGCCACCACAGCAGGTGTGGAGAATGGCGTCGACACTGGCTGTGGAAGAGAATTTTCAGAAGCCACCACTTTTTGTGTATCCGTTTGCAGGGAATAATACATTAGGGGTGGGTAGGGCAACTGCGAATCCAGAACAGTTTTAAAGCAATTTTTTTCTTATTTGAGAGAGAGACAGGAGGAGGAGAGGGGCAGAGGGAGAGAGAGGGAGAAAACAGCCTTAGGTAGGTTCTACGCTCAGCACAGCCCAACACAGGGCTCGATCCCACCACCCTCGGATCATGACCTGAGCTGAAATCAACAGCCGGAAGCCCAACTGACTGAGCCCCCCAGGGGCCCCTGGAACAGTTTTATTTATTGAATACTGATTATGGGCCAGGCACCTTGCTTAGCACTCTGCATGCACGATCTCATGTGATCCGCACAGCAAGCCAGATGACAAAATAGAGGCTGGGAGTGGTGAAGGTAACTTGCCTAAGGCCACACAGTTGGCAAGAGCTCTGGCTGTCTGATTACAAAACTTGTGCCCCTAGCAGCTATGCTTCCACGATATTCCCAAGAACAGAGTGAGCTGGGCATTTTCACGAACTACCAGGCTTGAAAAGGTTGCAGTGGGCATAATATTTCTGTGGGATTTGTACACACCCTTTGATCCAGTCATTGCCCTTACAGCAATTTTGGGATATAATCAATGATGGGTGTAAAGGTTTAGCCACAGAGATCTTTAATGTGATATTTAGAGTAGAGTGAAAAATTGGCAACGACCCAATGTCCAAAAATTATAATAGATTGCATAGATCTTTAAAAAGCATACTCTTTTGTTTTTGAGAGAAAGAGAGAGCGAAAGAAAGAGAGAGTGAGAGGGAGAGAGACAGAGAGAGAGAGAGAAGCAGGGCTCACCCGGGACTTGTGTTCACCCGGAGCAGAGCTCAAACTCACCAATTGTGAGATCATGACCTGAGCCGAAGTCAGATGATTAACCAGTGAGCCACCCAGGTGCCCTAAAAAATATACTCCTGAGCCACTAAAATAATGTTGTAGCAGAAGCACGTAATGGCACAGGGTGAGAGATATATATCCAAAATGATGATATGCTGTAATTAATGCTTAGCATGGGTGCAGAGATGCACACATGGCTTTGCGTCCTGAATGCTTCTCTCTATTTCCTAATTTTGAAAAAATAACAATACTTTTGTGATCAGAAAAAGGTCTTTTAAGTAGAAACTGGGGAAACCGCTCGACTCATTGAATTTGAGTCACAGTTGTGAAAGACCAGTCCATAATTGCCAGATTTCTTTCCATCTATCCTTTCTTCTTAATATGAATCCTGCTTTCTGAAGACATTAAAACGAAGCACGCTCCGAGCATACACCACGTCTTGCACCCTGGAAGTCCAACCCCTGGCCCTGTCCGAGCTGTACGCACGGACTCTCCTTTCTCTGCCTTCTTGGCCAGTGGCGCTGGTCTCTTATTCATTCACCCCAGAAACAAAGAGGATATTGTTTCTATTAGCCAAGGTTGAAACAACACCAGGGACAGCTTACAGGACACGGTCCCATTCCAGGCCGCTGAGGCGACCTGCTCA